TATTCTGAGCTGTATCAAAAGAGGAGTGGCCATCAGGTCAAGGGAAGCGACTCTGTCCCTCTCACCTCTCCTGAAACCCCATGTGAAATACTGCTTCCACCTTTGGGATCTCCAGCATAAGAAGGACACAGTCCTGTTGGACAGGTCGAGAGAAGGGCCACAAAGGTGATCAGAGGTGGTGGAGTACCTCTCCTATGAGCACAGGCTGAGAGAGCTGGGGTTGTTTGGCCAGGAGAAAAGGTTCCAGGGTGACCTTAGAGGGGTCCTTCCAGTACCTAAAGGGGACTACAGGAGAGAGACTTTTGACAAGGAAATGTAACAATAGGACAAGGGACAAAGGCTTCTCAAAAGAAAAAAAGGGCTGGATTAGATTATATATTAGGAAGAAATTCTTTACTGTGAGGATGGTGAGACACTGGAAGAGGCTGCACAGAAAAGTTGTGGATTCCCCAACCATGGAAGTCTTTCAGGCCAGGCTGGATGGGGCCCTGAGCAGACTGGTCTAGTGGAAGATATCCCTAAGCCCATGGCAGGGTGGCTGGAACCAGATGGTCTTGAAAGCCTTTAAGGCAACCCAAACTATTGTATCATTCTACAATCTTTCATATCCCTTTGCTCTCCTCTAAGGTCATGTTAGCCTTAAGCAAATACCACCTTTATGTCCACATTTTCTGTCAAGGAATTCAATTACATTCTGAGTGCAGAACCACCTCATTTTATTTACTTTGAAACTGACTCCTGCAAGCCTTACATCTGTTACATGTCAGTCTTGTACTGGCCAAGACAGAAGACATTTGATTTTCCTCTGCCCCCTTGATTCATCATTCAAGGCTCTGAATTTGCAATACTACAGAAGTCTGAACCCATCAAATGTGATCATGCTGGTAAGTGGGTAAACTGCAATAATCAGCAAAATACCTCATAGAAAACAAACACAATTTGTGAAGTCAAGATCTGCAATGCCCAGCATGGCTAAGATTCCTGGCATTCCTCAAGAGTCACACGGAAAACCAAGATCTCTGGTATAAGCCATAAGTACATTTCTGTTTAGTTTACTACTTCTACAAGTTAGACGTGAACATCATAGAAGGACAAAATACACTCTTGGGATTAACTCCCATTGTTTTGTATCAGGTTCTGTTCTCAGGTGAGAAACTGTATTACAATAAGAACATTATTTTGCTCAGACATACATGTTAGACTACTCATACAACATACTGAAATAGCCAGACTTTAAGGACACCACAGATATTTATGCAAATTCTCAAAAAATTTAACTCCAGCTGGTGCTGACCTGCATTAAATCTGTATCTTTTTGTAATTCTACCACTGCACCTTCCCTGTTCTTCCACAATATTTATTATAACCAGCACCATAGGCCTTGACTACATATTCCTTAAAGCAGGAATCATTGCTTCCTTGTGTGTTTCAACAGCTACCAGTGGAGACTCACAATGATTACAGCTCCTGGAAAGCAACTGGGAAGCTTGTATTTTAAGTTGTGTTGTATTTATCTGCCAACAAACCCAGTTACATTTCCAAGACAAAAACTGTTTCTGTGCCTTGAAAATGGCAGAATCCACACCTAAATTATCTTCAACACTGAGTTGTAAGCTAGTATTCAAATTAAAAGTTACTGTTTTATTCCTCCAGACAATAATTTTTCAGTTAAGAGTTTCACTTTTTAAGTTTAGTTAATATATATTAACTGCTTGAAAGAGGATAAAATCAAATGTGCATTTAGCAGCTTTATACCATCCCATGTTATACCATAAGAAATCTCTGCCTTTAACAAAAAACTGCTGATTTTATCACGTGGAGTTTAGTTATTATCATCACTCTTACTATGAATTTCAAATATTCCAACATATATATAATCAACATGTGAATCCTTTTATTTTACTACAATAAATAATAATATCAAGAAATTAAGGAAGTGGTATCTACAAACAGTTTGAGTGTTGTATATTTGTGTCTGCAGTCATACTCATACACTCACAATTGGTAAAATTTTAACACTAAATTCACTCTATATTGTCTGTCTACATGCTCAAAAGCTTGGGCAACACTATATACTCAGCTGCTGCCCATGCAGCTTCCATATAATACACTCCCACAAGGACAGCATCTAATTGCATTTGCTCTTACATGAGAATGCATTTCTTTACTGTATTATTCTCAGCAGACTACACAGGCTCAGAGCAGCAGCTTCTGAGTATTTTTACTGGGGGGGGAGCAGGTAACACTTTATACTGGCACAAATGCTCGATTTTCACAGCTTCTGTCACCACTGACAGCACTTTCAGGTAGGTGCAAGCAATGCCATAAACAAACAAGAGCCACATACACATATTTGGGTTTAAATCGCTTGCTCATCCTCATATAGGACCAAGCAAAGCCAATCCTCATTTCTTTTTTCCTTCAGCTTAGTGTGTCATTTGCTATGCTCCTTTCACTTTTAGCATAAACCAGCCTTCAGGCACTAAACAACACTAGTTGAATCACCAAGCACTGTTTATAACAAGCTCTAAATAAATAGGATTTCTGTATGGAAAAACTGATTTAAAATGATAAAATGCAAAAGGAACTCAAATTTAGTTTAAGGAAACTTGTCTCACATGTGTGTCTCGATTCCTGAATATCTTGACTGTAAACTTCATTTGAGATATCATGGATACTAAAGATTTTACATGGGCTCAACCAACACGGACACTTCATAGAAGAAAAATCCATGAGATCCTGTTAAGTAAAACACCACCACTCTGGCTCTGGAACTCCCTGAGCTGTGAATCATTAAAGGCTGGAAGAAGCTGAACAGGTTGCCCAGAGAGGAGGTGGATGCTCAGTTCTGGAAAGATTAAAAGTTAGGTTGGACAGGAGTCTGAGCAACCTGTTTTACGTGAAGATGCCCCTGCTCATTGCAGGGGTGTTGGACTAGGTGAGCTTGAAAGGTCCTTTTCAAACCAAGCTGTTCTATGATTCTATGAGAAGTGTCTTGGGGAGATATCATTCTGCACAGGTGTTACACTCATCTCAAGGTATCTGCTGCTGACCACCACTGAGGACAGGACACCAGCCAGATGACCTCTGGTCTGATCCAGTATCACCCACAGTCTCTCTCAAACAGCATCATGCAGAGTCACAACACTACCATGGCTTTTCTAGGTGGTTTACAACTATCCTAACAATAAATGTGATTAAAATTGTCAAGGATTTATGACACAAGCTCTAAAGTTTGACAGCACCTTACCAATGTAAAAGTTTTTTAAGGATGTAAATCAAATGGTTTCTGAATGTCATATCTCTTTTACTTTCTTTACTTACTAATAAACCTTACATATTTTTATTACAGTAATACCCCAAAGGATATTGTTATGACAACATCTAAATAAATACATAAAACATCATCATCTTTGCCTCTGAAGTACTTGATGTAGGCCGAGAAACAGTAGATTAACAGAAAAGTTGAGTACTACATAACCTGAATTACTTGAGAGGTAGTTTGGAAAAGGTCATCTGAGTTCCACAATGATTTTGAGAAAAAAGTGAATAAACAAATAGTGTAACTGACGGCTGAGAGTCCTCCTTGGTAAGAAGGTTGGTAAGGTCCTTAGTAAGGACCCTTGCCCCAGGGCAACCTACTACCATCACTGAGAGAGTTAAACCATAACCAGTTTGATTCCATGAAATGGGTTTAGAACTCATCTTGTCAGCATATTTAAACAGCTCTCACCATACAGTAATTCATTCTTCTGGCCGAAGCAAAAACACAAACAACTAAGCACGTGGGCATCTTACACAACATTGGCAGAACAAGGAGGAGGCACCCAGAGTGAAGAGCAAACAATTCAACCATTCAAACACAAACCAAAACAAAATAAATCACAAAAGCCAAGCAAAACCAAGAGTGTGTCCTTACAACTAAAATAACAACTAAATGGAAGTATCAAAAATCTGATTCATTTTAGCAGTAAAAATCTCCATACCTGATTTACACGAGATGCTGCACAGCAGTGAATCTCAGTTTTCAAGTGGTATAAGATACCAATCTCTAGGAAGTAGCCCTTCTTATCTTAAAACTGCACCATGATTCACACAGAATTAGAGTGAGCAGGTTTTACCAATTAATTGAGAAGAATTGCAAGCTATAAAACACACCCTGGATTCCATGCAAGCCTGCAGACTATAACATTCCTAACACCAGTCTTCTGACATGCTTAGGCCAGTGTAATGGAAGGAATCCCCATTTTACAAAAATTTCCCTGCTACAGAAAACACAAACCAAACCCTACTTCTGGCTAGACACAAACTATATACTTTTCACAATATTTGATGCTGAAATGCAATTCAAAGTCAGACATGAGAAAAAGCAGACGTCTCCACGTTTAAGTGTCCAAAAAGTACTTTCAAGAGGATATTTTAAACACCCACTAGCACTAGACTTATGTTTAGGAAATGCTTTTAAGAAAAGTAGGAATTTGAAACTCTTTCACATGAGCCATCTCCTATCTGTGCCATTACCACTTAACAAGTGCCACTCCAATCCCAGTACTATTTAACCCATGCGCATCAGAGATAATCCTATTTTTAATGGACTATTTTTATGACTGCTTAGTTTATGGAACTGCAATCAAATAACAAAAGATGCAGAAATGCATTACAAATCTTCCAACCAAAAGAAAAGAATTCAAACTAAAATGTAGGCAAGCAATAAATTGAAACAACAACAACCAAAAAAAAATAATTGAAAAATAAATTTAAAAATCTAGAACAACATAGCAAAGAACATTACATTTCTAAACCTCTGCCTCATCATTTTAGTCCCCTTCTCTTAAATAAAAAATAATAATTTAAACTTTCTGGCACAGCAGATAAAGTTTATGAAGATATTTTTTAATGTTGTGATACTCTACAAAATACAACAAAAAAGACACTTTTTTGTTTAATCTACCAATTTCTTAAGAAGCAAACCTCAAAATCTGCAGTAATAATGTACTCACCAGCACTGCCACTCTCTGATTTTTCTTCTGATTGGTTTTCTGGAAAAAAAAGTAAACAGAAAAGTAATCATAATGTTTCTGTGTTGATTATTTGAAATTACATCTAATAACTGTGTTGCAAAGTAAATAATGATAAATGATGATAAAATCACCAGGTTTGATTAATATTTATAAATATACCTTCTGAGGAATAATTTGTTACCGGGAGCAACAAAAAAATAAATTCCTTTAGTGCCCAAACTCACAACTTAAATGAGAGAATTCTATTGCACATATGACTGAGCTCTGAACAAAGTTACACATTTATATAAAATTAATAGTAGGATTATGTTCAAGCAATGTACATTATTCATTTATCTCACTGGTCAGTCTAGACAAATGAATATTTTTATATATTACAAAAATAATCAGGGTTCTGCAAAAGAATTTTCTTAATTGGTATTAGGTAAATTTTTGACCTTGATCAACCTCTTTTTTACCCTTTCTACAGGCCATGGAAGAATTTATTTCTTCAAGCTTTTTCCTCTCTGATTATTTGTCCTCAATTGGTACTACAGTCCATTAGTATTTTTTTGTCAAGTATTTGTACTTGTCAAGTATAACAAATACATATAATCAGAAACATCTCCTGTTCCATATAGCAGAGAATCGTAAGTATGTATGAAACAGACACAGTTTTGCAAAGCGACTTGCTAAAAAAATTATCACTCTGGTGAATGGCAGAGTCAGATCCAGAAACAGCTTTCTGCAAGAAATTCCAATCCCTCATTTCAAGGAATGGCTGGCAGTAGATTTATTGTGGTAACCTGAATTGTAACCCCTACTAAGTCCTACAAGATTAAACCCCTCCATTAATTTGTCAGCATTATATTTGACAGTTCCTCCTATATTTCTCCTTTTTATGCATCCTTTGATGCAGAGAACAAAAAGAACATTTTCACTTCCCTAGAACACAGCTAGAAATAGTAAAACATACTTGTCCTTTGCTTTCAACTGAGACAAGTTACAGCTGTCATTACAGGCTATTTACTTACAGGCAAGAGTGAATTACTGCTCTAACTCAGAGAGTAATTTTTGAGTTCAGTTAGGTTGATAATTTCTGCCATTTACAGGCTGGGTATTAAAAAAACTGAAAATACAAAATATTTTAGAAGGCCTTTTTCTTGCCACTGATTTTTGCTGGCTTTGAAGGCTTCTGTCCCTCTTTTCTCATTGAGATGGCTTGAGAGACTGAGGACTAAATACAAGCATAAAAACCAGTATCTTACAGCTCCTTCTTTCTTTACACCAGGTGCCTGTCATTAGTCTTAGCAGCTGAAGGCACTTCTATTAGAAACAGTCATAATATGGCCCCTTCCCAGCCATGAGTATCCACCAAGTGAGTAAAGATCCCTACCAACTTTCAGACATACATCCAGGATAGCCTGTTTGCAGAAAACCAAGTATTTTCTTGTTGACTTTACTTTTTGTGCATATTTGGCACATTTACAGTATGGCAGAAAACAAATGCCCAACCAATACCCTGACTCAGTTGTAGCTCAGTGAAGGAAACATTCAGTACACATGCAAGAAGCAGAGAGGACAAAATGAAGAACATACAAACATATGAACACCTGCCTGAAGCGAGAAGTGAGATGCAACTGGACTTTAAGCTACTCAATTTCAACTCAGTTTCAATGGAAGACCAGAGCTACCTCACCAAAACTATTGCCAAAGACCTCACACTTGAACATTACTAAGAGCATCTCTGATTCAAATAGCATTAAAGGTACTTCATGTCTACAGGGAAAGTGTGTGTGTGTATCTGCCCTCAACAGCAAAGACAAAAAACGAGGCAAAATTCAAATCTTGCAAAAAAGTGCCATTTTTCTTCCTCATCATTAGACAACTCTGTTTTGTTATGATTAGGTCATAAATTCTGCTTTAAAAATCTTCTCAGCATTAATATAATGAAGAAGGTAAAGGAAGTTGTACTATGTCTACTTAGTATATTTCATTAATGCAGACTACAGCTGCTCAGCCTCCTCTACAACATGCAAGAGTTGATAAACATCACTGATAAACATCAACAGATTGGGGTTTTTTTGTTGTTAGTGGGTTTTTTGCTGTCATTATGGTAGCCGGTGGTGGTAGGGTGTTGGCTTGTTATATGTACATCAGTGAGACTGAAAGCAAAAGGGATTTTAAATCAATGAAGTATGCAAAAAGACTATTCCCATTACACTGAGCCCATTCTAACAGTCTGTATATTTTGTGTGTTATATCCTCAATTGTTTAAATTTGTACAGGAATTAACAGTCTATAGTTTTAATAACAGAAATGAAAATAAAATTAACTATCACTGCCAGCCAGCTGAAGCTGCTTTACAGTGCTTGTCCAATCCTCTAACAAGCATATGAAGTAATTAAATAAATATAATTTCCATTTTTTTGAGATGGAGAAGGGGTATGATGTAAGCAACTGCAATTACTTTCTAAATGGACTGTATGTCTCAATAATACACACAAAATTTTGAGCCATCGAAATTAATTCTGTAATTAAACTAGCTTGAGCCACAAATTCTCCTTTTCTGATCAAGGGCTTCATCTTTATGATTTTCAAAAACATTTGGAAATTTGCATAAATGCCATAGATTTGAAAGGCTGGTGTTGCTTCTATTTCTTTTGATTTTGAGGCTGCTGATAGGTTTTCTGCTTCTGTTAACAGTCCAGAAAAGACTGAAGTACACAACAGAACAAAGAAGGAGTAGGTTAGATCCCAAAACCTTCTGGAGACTAGAATATGTGGTTAAGTGACAGCCTGAACAGAAACAATTGGAAAGTACTGTTAACATAGACAGATACACGTCAAAACTACTCATCAGGCTGCACTAAGATGGCAGAACAGTGAGGGTGTTTATTTCCTAAATAACAGTTTGATGAGAAATTTCAGAATTCAAACACTTATCTAATAGAATTGGAAACAGTATTACAAGGCATCAAGATTCTGAGCACATTGCATTTTACTGAGAATAATTAAGTGTAATTAAAGAAGTGCTTTAATGAAAGGTTTTTATTAGGGCTTGTTCCCTTCACATTTCTTTAATGCTGGATATAGCTTGTATTTAAAAATACATATATACAAAACAGAGAATAAAAACCTCTGAATATTCATTTTTACTGGAATACAAACACACATTCTACGTTATATGGTACATGTGATTCATGTGCAAACTCAGAAAAGGTCTTTTCACATATGAAAAGCTGTATAGAGGAAAAAAACCCCAACAATTCAAAACAATGGGAGAATTTTCAAGGAATGTGGGAATAAAGGAGCTATTCTTGCGTATATACGCTGAGTTACGTGTATTATTGAACAAGAACACAAAAAATAATTGAGTGTCATTAATTGAATTTCTGAAGGAGAGAAGGTTCAGGAAACTGAAGAAAAACAAAATATTAAAAGCCAGCAATGTTTTGTGAAGCATGAAAGAGTGAGACAATCCATGCATGAATGCTGCTCAGAACCAAAGCTCTGGTTTGTGTTCTGTCAATGGAATTCTCTGAACATTTTTTACTTTCAGTAAGATGGAAAGATCATGAAAGAATTTAAAGATGCAAAAATAGACATTACGGCTATCCCACTTATAAAGGGGGAGTTGTGAAGACATATTCAAAATTTAAATAAAATGAATCATGTCATCCAACTTTACAGAAATATCTTATACTTTATTTGTGTCTACAGTGTAAAATCTTCTCCTCCACCCATCAGTCCTTTACAGTCTGGGATGCAATTGCCTGCCAAGGTCTGTGTTCTCACAAGTCATATTAGTAGCACATTTTTCCAAAAACCAGTTAAATAAGAAACTTTTATCATTATCTCCAACAAAGCTGCAATTTAACTTATATTAAGAACCAGCAAACCTAATCTACATGCAGGTAGAAAAATTAAGCACTGGGCAATTAAAGCAGTAAGGGAAGTAATGTATAATCATAATCAGAAAAGTTTGCAGTTAAATGTTTGACAAAAGTGTTTTCCCATTCCTTCAACCAAGAAAGAAACTGTTAAATTACAGCTTTATCTTATGCTAGAGTGTCTGCCAGTGGGAAGCTCAGAAAACAATTTTAACCAAATATACCCTATGTATCAGGCCCATGAATTGCCCCTCAATAGTTTCTAGCTATATGCACATAAGAAGAATTAATTTTGTTCAATAAGACACATTAAAATATATGCAAAATCTTCTGCTTTTCACCCGCCAAAAAACCACAGCTATGATAGCTGATGACAAAGATAAGATAACATGACTGGAAGCACAAATAGCATTGTTGCATAGCAACTGTTGATGTACATATGGTGATGTTTATGGAACAGAATGTAGTTCATATTTAATGCAGAAATAATACCAAAACCAGACTAGACAGCAAGACCTAGACAGTAAGAGACAAGTGTGCTTTGGATCCCTCTGCAGACATGACAGGAGCCATGCTTCCCACCAGCTCTGCTACACTCTTGCTCAGGAACACCACCACAGGCCTCAGTGATCTGCCCAGCCATGCAGCAACAAGAAGTCCTCATGTGCAACAACCTTGCAAAGGAACTAGGGAGATATTTTGTAACTACCACCTTCAGAGTACTCAGTACTATTCTCTCGGGCTATTTCAAAACACAGAAAAAGGGAAAGAAAACATAAATGGGAGAAATCTCAGAGCTAATCCAAACAGAAGATGCAGCATGTGTGAAAGCCAGTACTGGCCAGATTTTTAACAGTATCTGGGATGGGAGCCACTTTACCAGGCTTCCTATTAGCTCAGATACACACTGCAGAAGAGCAAGAAACTGCAATTCATTACATTTTGGACACAATAAATTGCACCTCAGACGAGCATACTGATGTCCCTTAACAAATATGGGACCACCAGACATGCAGACATTTACAATGAAAGAACTAAAGGATTTCTTCCAACACTACAAGTAGGAAGTTCAGTTAAGCAAGTTCAGTTAAGACAAAGCAAAACAAAATTCACAGAAAATCCATTCAGAAGACTAGAAATTATATCATGCAGAAAATATTAAATTACTTGTCAAATTTGATATTTTTTGCTTGCTCTAAATGACCTGATGAGTCACTGTGAAGTGCTGAATTATCCAGAATATATAAACTGCCTACAGCATCTTCCAAGACCACAGCATATTTCAGAAAAGCCATCAAAAAACAGCCACTACAACATAAGGATCCCAGGGTAAAAGGACTACACAGAGAATAGATCTCAGGGCATTCAGTGTACTCAAAAAGAAGGGTAGAAGGGGGACCAAATCACAAACCCACAATCAAAAAAAACCCCATCCTGTATAATACAAACCCAACTGCTTTACACCATTTGCTCAGGTTGATTTAAGTCAGTCCTCAGTAAGGGTATTGACTGAGAACAATAGTGCAAGAAGCACTTTTTTATCCATATTTCATTTTCCTAATTCCTCAACTGCACCCTTCTAGATGACATCTGCAGTTCCATACCAGTTTAATCTTTGGCCCATGGTTCAAACTGATATATTGCTTGTGTCACATGGTACAATATTAAAAAAGAAAAGGAACAAGATGCTTCTCAGAAAAAAAACACGCTAATTATGATATGAAGACTAATACTGGTCTGTGAACCTAGGACTGAATGAATTTCAATTTCCTATTACTGCCTTACTGTAGATTGACTGATGTGCAAAGATATGTAAGTTTTTATTGAGTGTTTTTCCATGGTCAATATAGTGGGTTTTTCCATGGGGATTTTCTAGCATCTAATACAGTAGCAGCCCTTCTTTCAACTGGGACATCTGTACAGTCCACTCTTCAGACACCTGTTTTCCTACTAGCCATAATTCATTTGGAAATTTGCTGAAAATGGACATGCAGCTCGAGATATGCCTACACATTAAAGCACATGAGTGTATCTTCAGAAACATGGTACCTGTAAGGAATCTGACAGGAATTTGGAATGTTTGTGTCACGTTCATTTTTGAAAGCAAAAAACAGTCAAGCAAGAAAAGCACAATAAAGTATATTTTTGATTGTACTGTCACTGTACCAACTTAAATCCAACTGCAAAATATTTTAGCCATTTTGGATTTAAATCAGTTTCAGGAAAACTCACTGACTGCATGTTATGCTTGCTAATCTCAAACACAAACATTTTTGACAGGGTCTATGCTTATTCAGTGCTTCATCCCAATCATTTCTCATGTAACTGTCTACCCTTTGCTCCCAGTTAATACAATAATTTCTACTCAGTAAATCCACAGTCCTCAAATAACTTTTTCCAGTTGCTAGGAAATGCAAAAATTTCAATTTATTAAAAAAAAAAATGGGCAGAGGAAAAATAAGTATTTTTATAAAATCATATTCACAACAGAGACCAATTCAAGGAGAAAAAACCAAATACTAGTTCATACAAATAACACATGGGAACACAAAAATATATTTTTTCAGTCAAAACCCTAAAGGAGAATGTACACAATGTCCTGCACTTTGTATTGCATTCCACATTCCCTCTGCTCTCCCCGGCAGACTCAGAGGTGAAATGTACATGATAACCCCTGAGAACTTAAATCAGTTACTCAATCACACCAAGTAAATGGACAGACACAAAAAAACTACAATGGTGTTATCTACACAGAAAACAACAAAACAGCCAAAATCTGACTTCCAAGTCTTCTATCTCTTACAGCACTGAGTTTATTGAAAGCAGACATACTGGAGTCATAACAACTTTAATTCTAACTTACCTACTGAAGTTTCTGTGAACACTGTTAAGGTCTGTCCTCCCACACTTTGTAGAAGAAATGGATGTTCCCTGGGTGCACTGACTGAAGCAGGCTTTCCTCCAATATCATTGATGCTTGCAAGCTCTTCATTCAAAGTAAATGACACCTAGCAGTCACAATTGCACAGTGTTACCAAACAGACTCAATTACACTGTTTCACAAGTTATGGGGAAACAAAAAGAGAGAAAACACAAGTCGTATAGCACATTCCTATTCCAAAAATAAAGGGTGATATAAGAGTCCTTCCACACTGATCTCTTGTTAAAATACAGAATTCAAAGCTTTCATGTACTTGATAAAATTTACTCAGTTTCAAAAAATTGTAAATTACTTCCTCCTGAAGTCAGAGAACAATTTGATTTTACTTATTAAAACATACAGCATAATAGGTTTCCAGCCATTGCTCAGTGTGAGTGCTGAAAAATGTTTTGCACAGCCAGATGAGTTCCAGAAAAAGTGCTGAAGTACCACAACAAGTGTTACTAGCCTGGGACTCCTGAATTGCAAACAGCCCAGAAGAGGTTTAACCACAGCTCCTTTGCCATGTTCACATTGTATGCTCAATACAGAAGCTAAGGAAGGAGGGACTGGATAACCAGAATCCCTAGATACAGACACAGCCAGGAACTCAAAGAGGGATACTTCACACCAGTACCACGTGCTTTCCCTGTGCATCCTCCTTAGCCTTTTGTACTAACTCATCTCAAAATGTTTGAAGAGAAAGTAAACAAAGTGAGGGAACAGAGAGACCTGATGCAAGTCCCACAGGCATCTATGGGCAGAGCTACTAACAGAATTCTCTCTTCCTGATTCTGTGGTACAACACTTCAATAGAGGTATAGCAAAAAATATGTGACATTAGAAACCAGGACATTCTAAACAGTTTTTAGAATTCAAAACATAAACTTTAGCAATTACTTACCTCTGTTCTTCCTTGATTTCTGAAAAAAGAAAATATTTAATATTTAATAAATATATAAATATTAAAAATATTTAATAATGTAACCATAAACTAATTCCTCAAGTTCAACTTTCCTAATAAAAAAGCAAATTCAAATTCTAGTTGTGTTATTCATCTTCACTCCTGAACTGTTCAATTTTTTCTTATGCTGACGCCCAAGAATAAATGGGAAAAGTCAGCATGTGAGAACAGAAGCAGCAAAATAACAAATGTAAATAAAAGCAAATTCAGTAGTTAGTTTTCCCTAAACCTAGGAAATCAAACCTCATGTAACGAGACAGAGTGACTCCCTAGTATAATTTTGTACAACTTACATTCCTAATCACTACACAAGCAAATAATGTTCAAAGATCAGAGAAATATGCACACTGTTGGCAAGAAACAGGACTATGTCTTAGAACAGGTGCAACACATTCTTATTTTACGCAGGTAACTTCTAAGAAACGCACCCAGTAAATGTAGAGTAAAGGCTTACTTGACAATCCTTAGTTTTCCCACTTCACCTCTTCCTGAAGCTTTACTCCATTGTTGTGACAAGTATTTGGGGACCTAGAAAAAGACAACAGATTTCAAAAGCAGATTTTAAAATTCTATATAAATTGTGTATGTGTAAATACTTTAAATGGTTTTACCCTGACCACTTCAGAATAAAGTCTGAGCTAAACATATTAGACAATAGAGAGCCATCAATGACTATGGTTGGCAGGGGCCTTAATGGACATCTAGTTCAAATCCCCTGCAATGAGTAAGGGCATCTGCAACTAGGTCAGTTTGCTCAGAGCTCCAACCTGACCTTGAATGCTTCCAGGAATGCCACACCCACAACCTGTCTGGGCAACCTGTGTCAGTGGCTCTCCACCCTCATCATAAAACATTTCCTCTTTACATCTAGTCTAAATCCACTCTCCTTTCACTTAAAACCATTACTCTTTGTCCAGCTACTATAGGCTCTACTAAAATGTCTGTCCCCATCTTTCTCATCAACCCCCTTGAGGCACTGGAAGGTCTCCCTGGAGCCTTTTCCTCTCCAGGCTGAGCAGACCCAGCTCTATCAATCAGTCTTCACAGAAGAGGTGTTCCAGGTCTCTGATCATCTTTGTGGCCTCCTTTGCACCTGCTGAAGCAAGTCCACATCTTTCATATGCTGGGGGCTCCAGAGCAAGACACAGCAATCCAGGGGGGATCTCACCAGAGTAGAGCAGAGGGACAGAATCTCCTCCCTTGACTTACTGCCCATGCTGCTTTTGTTGCAGCTCTGGACACAATTGCCTTTCTGGGCTCCAAGTGCATATTGCCAGGTCATGTCCAGCCTCTCATCTACCAGCACCCCCAAGTCCTTGTCCTCAGAGCTGCTCTCAGTCCTTTCCTCCCTCACCTTGCATTGGTACTGGGGGATGTCCCAACGCAGGTGCAGGACCTTGTGCTTGGCTTTGTTGAACTTTATGAAGCTCATGCAAGCTCACTTCCTGAGCTGTTATACACATGCACATATACATACATATATACACATTTGTGTTAGAGAGAACAAGGAGAATCACAGCACAAAAAGAAAACCAACATAGAGTCTCAAATGAGAGAAAAATCTTAGTAACTCCAATCTCAAATACTACTATGCAATCACAAAAGGCAGAAAAAGATCAGCATCATACTCTTAAACTAAGGAGTCTTAATATTTTATTGGGTAAAATTATACTTTTAAATATTCATTAGAAATTATCATTTCTCTGGGAAAGAAAAGTCAACCAACCAATCACAGTGATAAGAAATTAAGCAATTTCTGGTGTGAAGGCAAGGAGTCTTAAGGCTTAAGAGTTTGGGAACCACAGAAATATTGAGCAGTAGACCACAGACTATTGCCACTCCTCCAATAGCAGAACAACCCTAGGCAAATCTGCCTCTCATCACTCATTCCCAGCTCTTCGCTGCATTGGGAAAAGTCTTTGTGCAGCTGGTCAGTATATGGAAAGAGCAGACTGATCTAACTAGGAGGAGTGAGTGACTTTTGTGTTTTAGCTGTACTGATTTTATGTTTAGCAGGTGGAGCAACCAAAGCAGCTCCCCAACCCATTTTCCAGAGCAGCTGCACAAAGTAGTGATTAGTCCAGGGACAAGAGCAAGACCTGCATAAACTGAGGATTAAAAGCTGCTGCAGTGCTGCTACCTCACCTACACACTAATTCCTCTGGTTGCAAAGGCTGTGGTAACTGCAGCATTGGGTGACCTGGACTCAAAACATACAGTAAAGGCCTCTGGCAAGCAGCACACTCCTCAGAACTTTACAGCCATATTCTTTACTGGCACAGCAATGTTTGTCCTGGCTCACACAGTCCCACAGCTACTGAAAACACCTGTGTCCCTGTGGAAAAATGTTGTGAGACACAGCCAAGAAGGAAGATAAATGCACTAAGCTATGCCTGGGGCGTTTTCTGTTTCAAGCAGCAAAGTAGCACTTTGAAGCCTAATTTTTGTTTCGCATAGAGTAAAACTAAGCGAAGCTGGGGAGAAAAAGAGCCTGTTCCAATAACTTGTTGACAAAGAACAACCTCCTAACTTCCTAAAGCTTACATTAAATTAACACTCACTTTGCATTTATTAGTTTATCAGTTCTTCAAGAACTCAAGAAGATACCTTGGAACTGGTGCTTAGTTAACACCATTACACTCACGGCACCCCATAAAATACATGTAGAATAACTACAAAATCCAGATGCCTCCAACTACTCAGAAAAACTAAATGGCACTCCAGGTTCCCATGAAGTTCAGACAACTTTGGTCAAAAATACAACAAAAGCACAGCAGAAAGAAAGTCATGAATTGGCACAATCTATTGATATATATTTTTTCAGTTTTCAAAGTGGTAACTTTCTACAGTAGATTCCAGTTTTAGCTTTCTTTCTGAAGTCAAGATAATTGCTATGACATGCTCCAGATGACTCAACAGAAATACTATTACATGTTTGCACCTAATCTCTATTCATACTGCCACCTAGTAAGGTAGATGCACGTTCAGTATGAGTGGACAAGGACTGAAGGGCTCTCATGGTGTTAAAGTCACTGACTTGCTACATAATACATTCAGACTGGGAATTTAGTCAGATTAAGAGGTTCCACATCAATTATACTCCTTTCAGCTGCATGGGAAAGTCTCAAAGATTTCATTTAATCATCTTTCTGCTGGCCCACTGCAGTCAAGGGCTATACAGAGAAAGACAAAGGGTTATGAAGGGCTGTGATCAAAGGATTACTTGCAGCTATCCATAGGTACTTCAGATAAAACCAGGCGTACTCACAAACCCACATGCTAATAATGTAAACAATCTGGAAAGACTAAACAAAGTCTTAAATGCCATAGACATCTTGTTTTCCACCTTTATTTTAATTTTAACATCATAATTATGGTAAAGAGTCAGATTTCAAAATCTTAACAATCCTTTAAAGAACACACAGAAAACAAGAGCAACCTGTTTTTTATAGGCCAGAATTTTCACTGATCCCACAAAAGGATTTTTAAAAATACATATCCACAGAAAGAGTGACCTGTGGACAGAGTGCCTGCCCAACAGGACAAGTTTATTCTGGGATTTTTATCTGGGAAGGTAAGAACATTCTTCTCTCCAAAAAAGAAAAAATACAATTTAATCACTAGAACAAATCTGACGTACTAAGGAGCATCACTTCAAGAGCTCTTCCCACTGCTGTTCTCCTGCTACTCACATCACACAGCTGCCCAGGCTGCAGTACACAAGGCACGCTGCAGGCAGTGTAGGACACAAGGGCCCCTGCTCCACTCATCTTTCAGCTTGGGCACGGCCTCCTACCCCCTTTTGGAAGGGAACACATAAGCAGCATCTCTCTGTAACAAACTACTTCCACTTTTCTGCAAAAAATTAAATTAGCTCTTTCTCTATATAGCAAGCCATACACAGTGCATACAACAGAAACTAAGGTTGATTCCAGATTCTATGTTTCAATTTTTCTTTGAACATACAAAAAGTAATTAAATAAATGTATCATATTTCATATATCATATAGAACAATGCAGCAGATTAAATAAAAAAAAATGGACCAACACACTCAGGAATAAGAAGTTCATATTCTCATGGCTAACACTAAATGGGCTTCACTTTACCACAACTACACAACCAAATATTCTTACTATTTCTCTACCTTAGCTTTCACTGAAAACACAGAAATAAAAATCCAGTTGCTCTCTGGACTTGTACTAAAACAACTCACTCTCTTTATGGTACCTCCTTTTACTGCTCATGCTTCTAAAATACTCATCACTACATTTTTTTATTGCCTGTTAAGTAATCTCTCTGGAATACTTCCTGTGCTAGCACAATGCATGCTAAAAGGAAATCAAATAAGCCAGGTTTTTTATTCCAGCAGAACTGAATGCTCTCTCCCTCAAAGGACAAATAAATTCAGCCTTGTTGTCCTAGCCAGTGAAGATAAAAAGTACAGTTACTATGTCTCTGAGTTGGAAGTCCTACTAACAGATGTGGTTGTTTCCAAGTTCAAGTCCGAAGGAAATCAAAGGATAAAATCCTGCATACCCCATGTTATGGTCTATCAGTGTTAGTATGTTTTCAATATTTTTTACTACCATTAATATACAAGAAGACAGATATAAGTTCAGAACACATGCATGAAGGACTACATCAACGTTTACTTAGAAGAGTAATACTCCAGCTTTCCTTTCAGTCCTGTTTTCTCATTAAACACAGTGGTACCAACTGTATGTAAGAACACATGGGCCTGAAGATTCCTTGCTTCAGGAAACACCAAACTGCATCAGACTAGAGGACAAGCAAGTTCAGTGTCCTGTCTCCAAATGCAGCCAATGATAGTTACTTCAGGAGGAACATACAAAGAAAACATATCTCCCCAGCATGCTCTTCTAATTTCTAGGGTGTTTTAGCAGACATGGGACTTGGCATCATATTACTTTTTAATGTCTCAATTTAATTTTCTTGCCTGAATTTGACTAAATACGTTTGAGTTTCTGCAAAGTTTTGACACTCAGAACTTCTAACTGCAAGAAGTTACAAAATTTAACTGCACATTGTGCAAAATAGCACCTCCTTTGCATGCGCTGAGTCTCATCAATGAATGACACACCTCTAATTCTTGTGCTTGAACTGATTCTTTCCTGTTCACCTTTGCCTATTCACTACTTCCTTATCCACCCATGACATTACTCATTGCTTCAGATCTCTATCAGATTTCCAAATTAATCCTCTTGCCAGCCTAAAAGGTAACAACGTATTTATGAGTTCCCTCCACAGCCATCATTCCTTGTTGCCAAGACCATACCTGGTTCTCTCCTCTGTACTGTTCCCAGGTCCATTGTACACTTTCCACAGCAGGGGGGATGGGACCACTGAGACCACAGTACACAGAGCATTCCAGATAGAAGCAACATGATGGTACAATAATATTTTCTCTTTTGTTTTCTGTGTCTTTTTTAATCATGTCTGATGTTGACTCTGCTCATTGGATATGTTCCTATAACGTTATCCCCATATATAGAAAAAACATACTCCTGAACAAGAAGCAGTAGAAACCCAGCTGCTGCATACATATAATTAGGATAGTTTTTCTCTATGCATGTCAGATTAGATCATTCAACTCTTAATTTCATCTGCCATTTTATCATCCTGTCACTGAGCGTGTCATGATATCCTTCTGCAGCTTTCTTCTGTCAGCATTCACTGACGGTGCCCAGGAAAAGCTACTACAATTAGAGCACTTGCACAGTGCTCGTTGTGCCTTTGTACCACACACTCAGGTGTCAGTACAGAAAAGAAAGCCAGATGCAGCAACTTGCCCACCAAAAATTCTGCACAGCAAAGCAAGTCTGAAATCCCCAACCACTTTAAAGGGTCACAGTAAGAAGTTCTGGTGGTTGAAGTATGATGGTGTTACACTCCCCTCACCACCCAGGACTAGTACTTGGGTACCACCCTGTCCCCACAAGTTCTTTCAAGTTGATGGTCTGAACCTATTACTAAAGAAGGAAGGGGAGGAAGGAACTGTTTCTCCCAAGACAGAATAAATACAGGCCTAGAAAAAGAGTAGAACACCCAGAGGGGACTCGAAGCAGGCAGGGCACATGCTCCCCCATCAGCTTCAAGTTCCTCTTTCTGAAACGATGCTTGGTATTGGCAGCGAAATGTCTTGATGGCAAGACACTCCAGGGAACAGAGCAGTGCCAGCCTGTTAGTGGTGGCACCAGACTGGAGTGTGGCCCTGCACCAAACAGGTTTTATTTGACACCCTCACTACCTTTTCACAGCCCCCCCACTACAGCTGTATTTCACTAGCACCAAAGGCAGCTGTAATGACAAGACATTGGCGCTCACTTTCCTTATTGGATGTGGACAGTCACACTCAAAACTTTTTCCAACTCTCAAGGTTTTGGGGAAATAAAAGTTATACTGCCGTGTTT